ACCGTGCAAGATACGGGCTCAGAAGGAGAGACAGGGATGTAGGGGAGGTGGAGAGGAGAGAGACAGCTAGGCAGACACGCACAAGCAGGGACACACACACACACACACACACACACACACACACACACGGTGAGAATTTAAGGGAGAAGTCACAGAATAAGGAAGTCAAGGAGACCAAGAGCCAGAAATTTAGAGACAGACACCAACCCTCCTGTTTCCTCCTCTTCTTTTTATTTCCCTTCCCCATTCCCATTCCGATTGCCTGTCCCAATCTTACTCCCTCACAGGACACCTATTTATTAGGTACCTATCTAGTAGGTACCGAGTTCTGGCTTCAAAGACCACCATGAATAAAGCAAATAAAGACCACTGCCTATGTGGGGCTGGTTCTAGCAGTGGAGACTCACTTCACACAAAACACAGGATCCTAAATGAGCCAGCCAGGGGTGGGGGAGATGCCTGTGATCCCAGTATTCAAGGGGATGAGGAAGGAAGAATCGCTGAGAGTTCGAGGCCAGCCTAGGCTAAACAGTGAGTTCAGGACTAGCTTTAACTCTGTGTAAAGAGAGACCCTGTCTCCAAAAACAAAACAAAATACTAAATGAGCAAGTTCACACATTCTGTAGGAAGGTGATCAATGCTTCGGGGAAAAAAGGAACAGCAGAGGAAGTTTAAGGGGGTCAGGAATTACATATTAGACAGGTAATCAGGTGAACACACCTCTGTCTCCCGATATCTCACCTCCTTCCCTCTGATCTCTAGTGTCTGGAGTCTCTCAAAACGTTTCATTTGCAGACCAGGATATCTAGTAAATAAATCACCCATCCTGGATTCAGGCTTTTCATAACATGCGGAGTTTTTCGAGATTGCTTTCTGGGATCCTCTCACCCTCTCTAGTTCTCCAGGAAACAAGTACAGTGCCACCCCCCTCTTGTTTAAAGTATGGCAAGACCTGGAGTGGAAACTCGGAACTACAGATCACTTGGAACTCTATAGATAGGAACTGTCACTTAAAGGGAGCAAATTTCAGTTTCTCTTTGACATAACCGAATTGCCAGAAACACGTCTCTTGTGTTCTAAGGTCACTTTTACATCTGATTTTATCCAAAAGGCCAAGAAGTGATTGGGGCCATTTTGGCTACTAAGTGACTACTGGGTGGGTAGCATATAGGATGTGGATACGCTGGACAAAGGGAAGAGCCACAGCCCAGCAGGACACAGAGAGACAGCATTGGATCTCATCACATGACTCAGCACAGCACACAATTTAAAAGTGATGTGTTGCTTCTGCAAGTTCCCTTTTAGCATTTTTGGACCATGGTTGACTGCAGATAACTAAAACCATGGATAGCAGCCTATGGTCATTGTCCAGACCTGTTCCTTCTGACACTGGGCGAGGGCAGACACAAAGCGAGCCTGGGCCAGCTCGGATGAAGGGTGCAGTGAGGTGCTGGCCGAGGCCCATGCACCCCCAGTCTTCATGCTATGCACCCTTCAGTGTTTTCTCCAGTCCCCACCAGCCCCACAGCTTTAACCCCTCCAGGCTCAGCCTCAGAGATTGCTCTGTATCTCTGATGTGACCTCACCAACCACTTAGTCAACCTGGCCAAGAGCCGCTGGTCTTGCTGCCCAGTTTGTCCCTCACATGGGACCGGAGCTGACCCTGCCTTGCCTTGCACCCCACTCCTGCCTGCTATCACCCCGCATGCTCCCTTGACATCGACTGCCTATACTTTGGGGCTGCCACACAGGTCCCATCCTGGATCCCCTTTCCTGTCCCATCTCTGCCCCTGTCCTTGCCACAGCGAACCCCTCATCCGTCAGCTTCACCTCCCCCTGGAGCCCTGCCACTCAGGCTGGGTTCCCTGTTCCTGCCCTGGTGCGTGGTCCTCTGTTTACACAGCTGTCTCCTGCACCAGCCTGGCACCTCTACAAGGGCAGGGCCCCCCACTGAGTCATCTCTGTGCCTGGGCATCGCCCAGCCCAAGCCGCTCCCACCAGCAGCTCTGCAGATGCCCCGCTAGTGAATAAGTGCTTTTCCTTCTGTCTCACCTCCATCTTTGCCTTATCTCCCTCCACCCTCTGGCCCATTGGTCCTGGTGTTCCATAAACCACATCTGGAGGTTTTCTCAGTATCTTGGGAAGTCCCCTACAACCCAGGGGAGAACCAAAAATCAGTCACCATTGGAGGGAGGGGTTCTGAGCAAGATGACTGCTAGTGCAGAGCAATGGAGCCCCGCCTTCTGAGGAGCACCCAGCTTCACCTCTCCTAGGCTTCGGGCTCTGGGCTGGCTGCCTCTGGCCTTGGTCCTCTCCTCCTGGGAGGGATTCTGGAAGACTGGATGCTTGGTCTGAGGGAGAGGCTGGGCCCGGACCCCAGGTCTGAGGGAGGAGACTGGGCCTGGACCCTGGGCCTGAAGGAGTCTGGGCTCAGATCCCAGGTCTGAGGGAAGAGGCTGGGCCCGGACCCCGGGTCTGAGGGAGGAGACTGGACCTGGACCCCCAGTAGAAGGAGGAGGGGCTGGGGCCTGGACTCCTGGGACTTAGAAGAAGAAACTTCTTGGGTAATGTCCTGGTCTCTCTCTTGTTTTAGAAACATCTGGTTTTATACAGTTGCTCCACCCAAGCAGGGCAGGGTGGAAGCTGGACAGCCAAATGCCTGGCTTCTGGGAGGGACCTGGGCTGTCCCCTCCCACAGTGCAGAGCCACCTTTCCCGGCTCTGGGCTGGGCTCCATCATCCTGACACCAGTCGCCCCAGGCTCCAGGCAACAGTGTCAGGCACAGCCTGGTCTCCTGGTGTGGGTGGGCAGTGCCCTGGCCCCAGCCCCACGGGGCCTTCTCCTAATGGTCAGGCCCAGACAAAGCCCTGACCCAACAACCGCGCCCCAACTTGTGGGGGAAACCCAGGGTGTGAGGGCTTTGGCAGAGGAGAACTCCAGGGTAAGCGGGAGAAAGGGGGACGGAGAGGCACAGAAAGCCAGAGAGAAAAGTGAGCAAGAGAGTGAGTCAGAAGGACACAAAACTTCCTACAGAGATAGCGTCTCAGAAGGGGGTGGGAATGGAGAGAGACTGAGGGCGGAGAGAGACGGACAGATAGGTGGACAGAGACACCGAAACGCACACGCGAAGGGTGGGGAAGTCAGGGAAAGACGCTCAGAGTCACAGAATCGGGACATCTAGGAGAGCAAGAGTCAAAAACTGGGAGGGCCAGACAGTCCCACAGAGAAGCAGAGGATCTGGTGAAGGCAAAGAGGGACAGAGGCAGAACGGGGGGTGGAGACGGCCCACAGGGTACGGGGAGACAGAGACCCAGAGGACAGACACGCGAGGCCGTGAGTCAGAGCAGTGACACAGGGCAGACAGGGGCCCCGGACAGCTCCGGTCAGACGTTATCCCGTCCGTTCACAGCCAGAGGAGCACTGGGACGGTGCCAGACGGAGGCTCTGAAATTCTCCCAGAAGGAAAGCCGTGAAAACACTGACGTTTATGGTCAGTCTTCCAAGGAGCTGGGCTGCGGGTGCCCCGGGTCTGCATCGCTTTTCCACCCTTGCTCTGACTCAGTTTCCCTGACAGCTGTGACGGATGACTCTAAATTCACCCCTGAGTCTCGGGGGAGGTAAATTCCAGCCCCGTGCCCCAAACTCTGGCCCACACATGTGCAGACACACACGCAAGTCACACACATGCACACGCACACACGCGCATCAGTCCGGCAGATGTTCTCTCGGGCTCTGCTTCCCGGCAGCCCTGCCTCCCGCCCCAGGGCGCACGGCCGCACCCACAGACACGCGTGTGCGAGCTCCGCTCCCTCTGCCTGTGGCTGGGAAGCGCCCCTGAAGGGGGTTCTGGGGAAACAAGGGTGGGGCCGCTGGGGAGGCG